AAACCCAATCTGCCTTCTGAAAATTCCCCCGAAACCTAATCTCGTTAAAACTCTCTACCATCATCGTCACAAAAATACTTATAAGAAAAAAAATAGACAGATGGCGCGGAGAGGTCGGGATCACACACTAAAATGGAATTTTCGGAGCCCACAGTATGTAAGCCCTAGGGGCATTGTCGTCCTGTTATGTTTTGAGTCATTATAGCCCCATTATTCTTCTTTTCAAGAAAATGAATGATTTATTAAAAAATATTTCTTCCCCTTGCATGAGTTCTTGTGAGAGCTTGAGAAATCGGAGAGAGGTCCCTAGGAGAGGGAGAATTGCGCATCACCCACCAACCTAGACGAGTCGGGTTCGTGTAACTATTTCGTGCATCTTCCTTTCCCTTCCACCACCACCACCGGCCAACATCACATCCACGGTTTTCTCCCTCCCCAAGCCCTTTCCCTTTACTTGACCAAACTCCACACACTTCCCACCTAGCCGCCGGCCCCATACCCGAGCCCATCCACCCGCCAGCCCCAAATCCCCTCTCCCTTTGCTTCCATTGCCTAATTGGGATTGACATAATTTGGGACATATTTTGAATTCAAATTCGTTCAATTTGAAATTTAAAATCTTTCCTAAATTACCAAACATATTCTAGGAAAGTTTCCAAATTAAATCTATTTGAATTTTAAATTCGAATTGGATTTAATTAAAAACTTTCCTATTTCTTAAACCCAATTTAAGAAGCCCTCAATCCCTCCCATTAATTGCTCCCATAGCCATCAATGTCGTCGAGTGGAGGATTACAACCGATCTTTAACGAAGGTTTTCTAATCTCCCTCTTCTCGTATTCCTTAAAGTCTAATCATTTCTTTGTGATTTGATTATAGTCATGAAGGTCGATGTTGCCCGATTCTGCCAAGCTTAGTAAACGTAGGGAATTAAGTGCACTTCTAATCTTATTGTTAGATTAGGAATTTTCGTTGAAAGCTACTATGTTTCTATGTGCTGAGTTCCAATGCTACTTTGATGGTTCAAAACTTTTATCGTGCAACTTAGCCTAAACGGAAGTGACCGCTCTTGTGTTTTATTTCATCGTTGTTATTTGCTAATAGTTTTAATTATTATTACTCTAATCAATAAGTCGTACAAGCTCTTTCAAAATCATTTCAAACATTATAGTCCTACACCAAGCCAGCAGGGAATCCAAGAACCAGCAGGAAAACCGAAGGGCAAGCAACAGGGAAACTCGAAATCCAGCAGGAAAACAATGAGAGCCAACATGGAAAACTGAAGGGCCAATAGAAAACCGCGAGGCTAATAGTAGGAGACGAATAACCACAGGAGAAAGAGAGCTAGAAACACGAGTGGACAATAAAGAAAACATAAATTAGTTAGCCTTGACTGCACCACAAATAGAAGGAATCTTCATCTAAGGTTCACATTTTTGTGATTGAAAATAAAGATGAAGAGGGTGACAAAGAGAACTATGAATTAGGAGATGATGCTATGAAGGAAATGAGTTTTTTAACTTTAGATGATGATGATGACTCCTAAGAATATAACTTTAATTTCTTACAAAAATATTTAACTAGAAAAAATTATTGTAATATTTTGAATTTTAAGTGATTGAGGTGTTGATCACTTGAACTTAAGCATCACATTGGTTGTTTTTATTATCCTGATGGTATTTATCTTTCAATTTTATAGTATTTCATGTTAATATATATGTATATTTACAATTGTTTAATGCTTTGCACCATGTTTGAAATAAATGAAGAAGCATATTGAGAGGTACTGGATCCTACATGATGAGATAAGGAAGAGACCAATTTGTTGTGATTGTGACTCAAATAAAAAAATCCTCTTAGTAATAATAGTACATATGATTTGATTTGTGGCCAATTATTTCAGCTTTCTTTAGGAACTAAACATAGATGAGCAGGCAACTGAGAAATAAAAAATTTAGAGCTGAATTTGATATAATATGATACATTGATACGATTCATATATTTTATGTTGTTTTGTTCTTGAACTATTTTGATTTCAATTATATTTCACATAATTTATCACTTAACACTTTATATCTTATACATTTTTTTTGTTTCATATATGTAAATTTGTTACTTCATAATTCAATAGAAAGTTAATATATCATCATTTAATATATTATTTGGATATTATATAAAAAATCAATTTTAAATCTTATTTTAACTTTACATAATTTTTAGATTTTGAGGCTTACGCCTTTCCTTACAATGATAAACACCTCAATACCCAATTGTGCAATTTTAACCCTTGAGAGCTTCTAAAGGAAACAAACAAGTTATAAAGAAATCTCAAAGGTGGAGGAAGGAGAAAGGAAAGGTGTAGTCTCATGAAAGATTTATTCGTTGAAGCATATAGTTGTTTAGCACTAATGATCTATTGAGTGCGAAAATACCAAAAAGGAAGAAACAACAAATAGCATGTGGAAAGATTTTATCATGCCAGCAAAACAAGGGAATAAAGAGGAAACAACAAAAAAATCTATTATCTATGGAAAAAAATGGTTTAATCAGGATAAAAAATCAAGATGGGTGAGATATGGTTGAAAAAAAGGGACATAATTGATGTGATAGCTTATTGTCAGATAGAAACCCCAAGAATTGAGGGGCATTTATGTGAATATCAGAAGTCCTTGCAACATCAAGAAGGTAACAGTTTTTGTATACAATAAAGGAAGTTTGATAAATAAGACCAAAAGCAGAGTAGATGTTCTGAAACTAAGGTCAAGTAAGCTTGGTGGCCTAACCATTAAATTGATTGTTGGAACTATGATCAAACAGCCACACTTGAGAAATGGAATCTCCTCCTCCCTCCACATTTTGGTATCAAAAAATGGTTTTGATTGCATGTTGCTTGTGAATTTATAACGATGATTTTTCTCTTGCTGGATTTTTTTGGTAAGAACTTCCTTGCATCAAGTAGCCTTGATCCTAATTTGTGTTTCCAAAATCCATTCCCCTCCTGCTCATACCTCTTTCATCGAAATTGCAGGAATACGAAGATAAGGGCTGATTTTTTATGATCTCTTCAAAAAGAAAAAAAAAATATACAAGTGATCTACTATCCGAGAGGTAGATCAGCTCTCCCACAAACCCTAAACGTTGCTAAGAACAACTCCTAAGAAAACTACAACAAACATAAATCACATAATGAAAATAAAACAACATAATTAGCCTTAAATAAACCATCATATTTTTCTCCAAAGTCTGAATTCAAATAAGCCCTATTTCCCTTTAATAAAACATTCCTAATTCCCTCCCAAATTTGAATTCAAATCAGCACCCTTTCCCTAAATAAAACCTTCATAATTTCCTCACATATCTGAATTCAAATCAGCCATCTTTCCCTAAATAAACTTTTCTTATTATTTCTCCCCTGATTTCTCCTCCTTACATAGTGAATAATAACTCCCCAGGACCCCACAAGATGGGCCGCCCTGGCGCATCATAATGATAGTCAAAATTTTGTATAGAGTACAAGTCATTAGATATTCCTTTCCTAAAAATATGTAAAGCAAATAAAATCCCATATCTTTGTTGGTAGAATCTTGAAAAAAAGAGTTGAAGCGATAGATGGTTCAAGATCATTAAAGAATAAGGTAAAAATAGTAGAGAACTATATGTTTGCCACTGAAGAGCTTGATGGCCTCTTGTCTAAAGGAGAGGCCTCCAGATGATGAAATTTATCATGATGATTAATAAGAAGAGAAATGCTGTCAACCATATATGGCAAATAGTATCGTAAAATTTGATATTGATATCAGTAGTGGAGGGTTTCAACTTATGGACATATGGGTGGTGAGAAGCCATGGAGCCTTTTGATAGAGGAACATGATAGCAAGGTTAGCGTATAAGCACTGTTAGAGTTATAGAGATATCATGCCCTAAGGGAGTGCAACTAATTGTAAGAAAGTGGGCATGGAGAGTGGTTATGACGGCAAGCACAACTACACGTGAGAATAATAAGCGCAAGTTCAACAAGGGCTGCAGCCATGTAAGCATAAGCACAAGTGCAGGGTACAAAGTAAGGAGAAAATGGGCATCTTGCACAAGGTGAGTGATAAGCAAGTGAGAACGATAAGTAGGTATGAGTGGCGTGCAGACGTGGATGTAGGCAACGAATGGGGTAGGCCAAGTGGCAAGCGAGTGATGAGAGAAGCAAGCAAACACATAGAGTATTTAGGCAAGTACGAACGCATATGCATGACGGTAAGCTAGGGCAAACATGGTGATCGAGATAAGAGGATGGTGGGTAGCTAGGAAACCTTAATATCATCTTGTTACCATGCTATGGGAAATCTATTTCATTTATTATTAATTGAATATGTGTGCCTCTATATACATGTATCTGAAAATACAAAGAGGTTAAAAAAAGGAAAAGAATAACCCCAACTATGAGGCTATAAAATCATCTCTCTAATATAATCAGTTGCCAATTTTAGAGGTCTGCCTAATACGCTACATTAACAATTCTTAAGGGAATGAAATGGCATGTCAATGACTAACATTAGAGCACAACCCAGCTAACACACACACACACCCCCAAAAAAAAAGTACTGCATAGCCCTAGTGCCCTTGAGAAGGAGTTTCATTGAAACAATACAAACATGGATACAACTCCCTTATTTTCAGTCGCTCAACAAGGTTGAACAAGTATAAACACAATCATGAACTGCACAATTACTAGAGAAGCAAAGTTTCAACAAGCATATGCAATCTAGTTAAACTCATAAACAAGTTCATTTATCAAGAACAGTTCTTTGAAAGCTCAATAGAAAGCTCATTCATACTCTAGCAAGAAAAAAACTGTTACACCGTATGATACGTTATAAGAAAAATAAAAACAAGATGGCTTGAATCTTAATAGTAATAATCAGATCATGAAGCCATTCAGTAAACTATTCACCACTATATTCATAGGAATGGTACATATCCATAAAAAAGAAATGTAAATTAAAGCTCACCTTAAAATTCCTGTACCACAACCAACATCCATAACAGTTGCTTGATTAAGCAAGGAAGGATTATTCAAAATTGCAATTCTGTATGCCTCTGTTCTCACCTAAACATTGGTATTACATATATGTAAGTTGACTACCTTCTTACAAAGACGATTCAAGCAGCGCACAATAAAGTACTCTCCAATAACTTGTGATAGAGCAAAAAATTTTTAAGGGCGTCATATACCTTGTCACTAATCATCTCCTTGTGAATGCCAAAAGAAGCATAAGAACCAAAATAATTGTCGTTAACATTTCTTATTTCTCTGGCAACTACATTAGCAAAAGAAACCTTAAGCTGACAATCCTTCTGCTTTTGATGTGATTCTCCATTGAAACTCCCTCCACAGATGCCATTGCTTTTGCTTTTCTCAAAAAAATTGGCCACTTTTTCTTCAGCAGCTACATGCTTTCTAATATCAAGACAAGCACTAGTCTGCGGATTTTCAGCATCTAAAATACCTTGGCTGCTATGGTAAACTTGAGCAATGTGACCATCGTTCATCAGTTCACTCAGAATATATTCTTCGGTGACTGGTGGATCAAAATCGTCCTCATCTTCATCATTAGCAAAGCTATGCAACAAAGCATCATCAATAATGAATGGTTTTAAATATGACTCCTCGTCCCATGGAAATTTCCCATCTTTTTTAATGTTATCAGCATCATGTAGACATGTAAAGTTTTTGAATAAGACATAACCACTCCGGCATTTGTTCATTGCAACCTAGTCATGAAAGACATCGAATGTCAGCTAAAGTTGATCAGATTTTCTTGCCCTATGGAATGTCTTTCACGTGTTAATTCCACAACATACTGAAATCATAGAAATAGGTTGTTGGCATCTTGCATTAGAATTTTTTATTTCCAATAATTATAGATTCTGACATTAAGATAAATTGTGCGCTCTTTCCTTCTATTTTGAGATTCCATTCTGACAAATTTACCGGTCCCAATTCATAGGTAAAAAAGGTAAAATCACTACAGTTATTCTAGAAAGAACTTAGCAAAGCATTAACTTAAGAGCTGACAATGTATGAGTAAAATGTGTCCGAGATAGCAATGGCAGGCATAACTTAAAAATTAATGTGCACAAACCCATGAAAACAAGGGATAAAGGATTATGTGGTTCGGTAAAGATCTCCTATATCCACAGCTGCAAAGAGATAATGTTTTCACTAGTTTGAAAAATGAGTACAATTAATTGGTTCAAATAGTCTCTTTTATCTCTCTAATCTACTCACCCATATATATATATATATATCAACCTTCTTCATTGTTCAAATTCCAAAATAGTTGCAAACCACACATAGCAGGTCTTTCAGTTGCAAGCTTCCTCCCACCTTCCTCCTTGTTGGTCGCTTGCTTCTCCTCAACAGCCAACAATCTTCTCCTCAGTAATCCTCAACATCAACAACAAGCTTATTCCTGAATTTACTGCCAGAACTCGTGACTTTCAAACCAGTACATCTTATCTTGAAGAAAAACTCTCCAATGTCGGCCTTGCATGCCTCCTTAATTCCTCCACCATTGAACATCCAAAATACCACATGCCATCACCTATGCCTCAACCGAGTTCAGTAATCCATAAAAAAAACAACCACCGAGATCTCCTATGAACACTAAGAAATAACTGTATTGATTGGACAGACTTGTGATCAAGTTAAATTTAAAAATGTGCTTTGTTGCAATAGATCTCTCTATCACCTTGAGGCTAAAGAGCTTCTCCATTAGATTTATCTTGTTCACCATCAAAGGCTTTTCACATACATAAGATGGAGCTTTCATCACCTAAATGTGATCTTCTCCTGCAATATGTTAATGCAACATTCCTTATAAGTCAAACGAGCAATTCCCAATGTTGGTATATCCAGAATATTCCAATCACCTTGGCTCATGTTTGTCAGTATTGTTTCTAAGAAAAATAGATATAACTTTTTCTAATATAGATAAGCCTCAATCCGCATCTTCAAGCATCTGAAATCTTCAGCATCAAAACTGTTGATCTTCACTTTCTCTTCCTAAGAATTCAATGCTCCCATTTTTTCCCTTTAGGACCTCAAAGCTTAGCTCTATTGCAATCATTTGCAAAAAGCATGTCCGCAAGAGCAATAACAAAAATGAGAAAGAAAATTTAATCAGATCAACAAAAAACACCAAAAAAATAAGAGACATAAGATTTGCATAGTTTAATTAAATTCACCTACATCCTCACCTGCATAAAGAGATTATTTTGACTAGTTTTAGTATCGAGTACAAGAATACAATTATTTGAGGCCCTCAAATATTCTCTCTTTTGTCTCTTTAATTTTAAGCTCCCATTTCTTTTTTCTTGAATCCATCTCTTTTTATCTGCAATAAAGCATAGATTAAAATATCCTTCAATCAAAACCTTGTCTCTCTAAGTCACTAATTCCTCTGGCATCGCACTTCTCATCTTCCTCATTGTGAGTCATCAATCTTCTCCTCAGTTCACGCCAACCTTCTCCTCAACACCCATTGGCATCAACAACAACACCCATTGGCATCAACAACAAGGTTAGGTGCCTAACTAATGCCAACTCCTAACTATCAAAGTAATTAATCTTGCCTCTAAGCATAACTTGAAATCATTAGTCTTGCATGCCTCCTTGAGTCCTCCGTCATTGAATAACAAAAGTGCCTTGCACCGTTATCTTTTTTTGAGTCAAGCTCAATTGCCAGCAACAAAGCAACCACCAAGAACTTCCAGGCCACAAGAAAAAACCTGAGACTTATGCAACTGTTAACTAAATTTTCAATGTTTTTTTATAGACTTAAGGAAGCGATGGAACAATTAATGGATGTGAGATTTTAGAGGCATAATATTAAGCACCATTTTGAATAATTTTTTACTTAGAAATATCCAAATTCTATCCTCAATATAAATTATGCAAAAAAAATTTGCTTGTTAAAAAAATTGAACTTTTCTAAAAAATAGTATACTTAGATAAAACCAAAAAAAGGTTGATGTGGAGGAATTTGATCTATTAATATAGCAAAACAAGGAATTAAATCACATGAGAAGCCACTCGCAAGTCATTTTAATGCATTGATATGCTATCAAAAATACATCTAACTTGGCAAATATTTTAAAGCAAATTTGAAATCTCATAGAACTCAAATAGTTGGACCAAAAAAGTTTAAAACATGATTTCAATAGGTAATGAACTTCAAATTTCAAAACATATAGACCAAAAGACCAACTCATTGAGAAAATTCTAATGACACCAAAATCTCTAAATTTGAGCACGAAAAAGCCAAATGAAAGTGGAATGAATGAATGAGGCCATCCTCTCCTTGTCCGTCTCATGATCAAACAACTCACACATAAGATTCACCACTTAGAACAATGGCTAGAGTTGTCAATGACCCTTTCGAGGTTGAAAGCACTGGATTGACTACCTAAACCCCCTTCTCGTAAATGATATGTATATGCCCTCCGATCATTCCAAACAAACGATATGATTTTGCATGGTGTGTTCACCTTAATCAAACTTCTTGAAGCTCCTGCAACCTCTACAAGCCTATCATTATTGTTCTTCATCGGACATAGTTTAGATCCCCAAAGCTTATAAAAATTATTTTGAACAACCTACCCATCTAAATTTCAATCTGCCAACTCCATTGAGTTTGTGGCATCAAGACATTCAAAATGGGATAATTCATTTGTTGACGACATCGATGACAGTGGCCACCACCACACCACTGTTGATAGCCTGACCCAACCCAACCAAATATTGGCCTAATTAGATCAATTGGACCAATATAGAGGCAATCTTATCAAGTTAATTTTTTATAAAGGAGGATGCAATCTAGTGCAGCTGATAATAAGAATGAGGAATATTCTAGTATAATGTTGAAGGCGGAATGCAATACCTGCTCAAACTATAAATAGACCTAGGTTCTATTCATTTTCCATATTTTAAACTCCAAGTTCATAAACAATGTTCATCATTGCTTGATATATCTATCATCATTTGACTTGCTTCGTCGTCCAACATCCATTGTCACCCAACACTCTCCATCCCCAAGTGCCGACCATATCTTATTGCCAATTGTTAACTATATCCCCCTCTTTTCAAAAGCATATTTGCCTTGACCACTTATAATTATGCACCACCTTCCACTAATTAAATCCAACCCCTTGGTCCAAGAAAAGAATTATTCTGATCACCACCACATCACCAACAATTCTAATCATCATATGACTAAAAGTCACACACCAACTCTTAGGCATCTAATATTTCCTCCTTTCAAAAGAACAATTAACCCAACCAATGCCATTATCCTACCAACTCTAGATCGCCTTCTAACTTCAAGTTGTCACCTTTAAGTTGTGCCATCTTCACCTCCAAGAGGGGAAAATCTGACCACCTTTAACGGCATTGACAACCTTCCTGCACCACAATGTCATCTCCTTCAAGTCATAAAATTTCCACCTCCAAAAGGTTGATTGTGCCCAATCATCCATACTGGCCCTCTTAACACCTTAGAGTTGCTCTGATTGACTCCTTCATGAGGACTTTCTTTACCTCATGAAAGAGGACAATCTCAATGCTCAACCTCACTGCATTGCCCACATGGTGGATGCTAGCAACATTTCAATTTCGCTTGCATTGTATTAGTGCCTTCTACAAGTTTGGGGAGGGATGACACTTCGTAACTAACACTTCCAAATAGTGGAAGCATTTCAAGTGGGCAATGCTTCATTATTTTTCCCTTCTCCAATTTTTTCATGTAAAACATAGTGTCCTATAATCTATTTATATCTCTGATTGTGTATTTGGACAACAATTCATAACTAAGGTGAACAAAATCTCTCTCTACAACTCAGTTTCTTGCACATAACATTAGTCCAAGCAAAACTCATACATATTCTACAGAAGTAGATAATAAACCCAGAATGATGCAATATGGATGTTCTATAACTTAAAGAAGGTAGTATATAACAGCAAGTTCTCCAAAAAAACAAGTGAAATTCATTGTTGCTTAAGCTTCTCAAACATTCCATTGGAGTGTTTTTTCCTTTGTTTTTCACTAATCCCATCATGTTGATGAACTTGTAGATTCAGTGCTTTACCGTTAATTCATTTTTTCATAATTTCTTTTGAAATTTAAAGAGCCAAAAAGAAAGTCCTTTTTTTTCTCAATATTTATACTAAACTAAACCTTAATTAATGATGCAAGAAAGTCAAATAACTTAAGTTTCAATCTGTATAATTAAATTTTGTTTATTCCTCAGTGAAACAAATGATGCGCGGCAAGCCTCTTCCAACCAAAGTTGTCAGTTTTGACGAAGAAGATGTACAAGAATGTGTTTCGACACACGCTACAGTGTTATTGCAGTGACGCAGGCGATGATATATAATTATAGGCTATTCGATTCATGATCTAGAAAAGTAAAGTTACGTGTTTCAGGGTTTCAAAATCTAGGATAAAAAAAAATTATTCAGTATCAAAAGAAAAAACTTCACAATGAGCAGTAGAACATACAACACGATGCGAGAAGTATTAAAGTCGCACCTGAGACCTAATGTAATTGATGAGCTTCAACGAACCATAGAAATCCAGCCTTAAATCTCTAATGACGCCGAGTAAATCGAAACAGTGTACGAATTTGCAGTGCTCGAACAATCTTTCTGTGGAATCGTATCTTAAGTCGCAAAAAAGGCACAGGTAATGAGACGATGAGTCCTCCTCATCAGATTGCCAATCGTCCCATACTCCTCCCCCTTCTCCCTCCATCTCCTCCTCCTCCTCCTCCTCCTCGGGGCTGAAATACTTCGTCGCCATGGAAATTTGGTACGAGCTGCTAAAACCCTCAGAACCCTAATGAGTAATGGCCTGCTTGAATATATAGTAGCTGCCGAAACCGAAACAGACCCAGCGAACACAACTAGCAGGTTGTCACCCGACCTACTAATTCTAATCGTTTCTGAACTAAAAATCTCGGGTTGGCTTAACCCGTTTAATAAATAAATCTTATTCGGTTTGATTTTTTTACCATTTATTAAATAAGTCGAATTTGAATTAAAGAACCTGCATTTAACTCTAAAATGATCTAAACCTCTTTTAGTAATTTTTTTACTTATAAGTATACTCTCTTTATATTTCTATCACATATACTAAATTTTATAATCAATAAGTTATAAAAAAAGTTTTAATCAAAATGGTATGATGAATCTAGTTCAGGCTTTTCAAGTTGTTAGCGGATCAAATTCAAGTTGATATTTTTTACCTGTTTATTAAAGTGGTTGAATTCAACCAGATTGAGTTTGAGTCAGAGATAACCCAAGGCTGACCAGTCAACCCATTTAAAAAATAAATATTATTATCATTAATTTATTATAAATGTACAATACATTAATGTGCTTATTTTTTTATGATTTTGAAATTTCAGAAGAATTTAGCATCAGTCATTAAAATTTTATTATGAATACTTAGATTTGGGATTAATACATTTACTACAAAATTTGTTTACAAATTAAATTAATTAAAGATATCAAATCTAAAAAATATATGATTATCTCATTGTCCACTCCTCCATTAAGCTTTTTATGCATAAAATATAAGACAATATAATTAACTCTCATATAATATTGTCCAATTTGATTGAAAAGTCCTCATACATTTTGTCCATTACATAGCTTTTTTTAAGGAAAGTTGCTCATCTTGGAAATGCTAAAGCACATAAGTTAGAAGTATTCAAATAAGTACATATTGATATTGGCGGCGTCAACGAGTAAAGTTGAGTAAAGTATATCTCTAACTTTAAAGTTTTGTTTGGGACGGCTTTCTTACTGCTTCTTAAAGCAAAAATTTTTTACTAAAAACTGCTTTAAGAAGCAGTAAGAAAGCCGTCCCAAATAAAATCTAAATTCACTTGCATTGTATTGTATGAAATATGAATAACGGTAGCATAGAATATTGTCTATAAGATGTTCAGTACAATAGTTTCTTGTAGTTTAGGCAATACAAATTCAGTAAAATACGTTTGAAATGTTAATGAATAGACAAAAAAAATATATAGAGATCATATGACAGCATGTTCTTCAATCAGTATAGTTGAATGGCATTTCAAAGATGAGAATTAGTTCTTGACACCGCAGCTGAAGCAACTGAAAAAGCTCCTTTTCTTCTGCAAAAATTGAAGAAAATTGTAAGAACATACTAATAATTAAGTGATTAATTATCATATTATATAGGGAGAGAATAAATGCAGGCTAGTAACAGAAACTGCAAACCAGTGCGATAGAGATATATTAACTTACTGGATTTCTTTGCATTAAAGAAGCTTAAGATGTTGTTTAGAACGGCTTTTTTAATGTTTTTTATAGCAACTTTTTAGTACACAAATTTTAATTTTTATTTTAAAAAGCTACTTTAAGAAATAGTAAGAAAGCCGTCCCAAACAAAACTTAAAATACGACGAAGAAATGTGTTTGCAGCAAAGATAATAGCTCACCTGAATGGTGTGAAACTTCCATGGACTTCTAACTTTGCCAAGTTCTTGGCCAAATCTAAAGTGGTTGGAGCTGATTTCAGGAAGTGAGATTCATTGAAGTTTCAATGATGTTTGGAGTACTATGAGTTTCATTCTCATTCATCATCATATTAATCATGTATTATTTCATTGTTATTATGAATAAAACTAATATTCAAATCTAATTTCTGTTAACTTTATGGTATTATAAGTGATTTATGAAAAAAGTAAAAAATTAGTGAAATTCATTTCTCACCTTAATGAGAATAAGTTTCAAATATAGAAACCCATTTTCATTCACTTTATATCAAACAACAACAACAACATCAAATTTTTATTCTATTACGTGGGGTCGGCTACATGAATCTTTTTTCTCCATTGTGTTCGGTTAAGAGTCAAATTCTCATTTAGATCTAATAAAAAAAGGTCATTTTGAATATTTTCTAAGTCTTTTTAGGTTTACCTCTACCTTTCTTAATATAGGTTAAATCTAATACATCTACTCTCCTAACCGAGTCATCATAAGGATGCCGTTTATTCTTCTTGTTGATAAGACTAAAGAGGGAGTTGAAGATAAACTTGAATTACGGAGGTCAACCTTAAAGTCTTAAGGGAAAATTCTATAAGATGATGGTTAGACCTGCAATGCTTTATGGCGCAGAATGTTGGCCATTAAAAGAGAAGAATAATACAAAGTTAAGTGTTGCAAAGATGAGGATGCTTAGGTGGATGAGTGGCTTTACTCTTAGAAATACGATACGAAATGAGCATATACAAGAAAAGGTTGGAGTAGCTCTAGTGGCAGATAAGATTAGAGAGAGCTGCCTTAGATGGTTTGGTCACTTTTTATCAAACAAACACAAAAATTGAGTCCCAAAAATTTGCTTCTATTATTTCTAAATACTTGTGTCAAAACAAATTAGCCGTAAAGACAGAACTAACGCATGAAACTTACCGTCAAAACAGGATTTAAGGAATAGCTGTTATAGTGCTAAAGGATAAGTTTTAAACTCGCAAACTAAGAATAAAAGTAGGAGCAGCTTAATCATTTTGCTCTAACACAGCCTCTCTCAGCATTCTTGATCTAGTGGAGATGCCCCCCTGCATTTAGCCTAACTAGAATAGGGTCCAGCCTTCGTTCTATTCAGAAATTCATAAGAATTGCACAATAAGCAACTTTTTGACTAAGTGGCTACGCGTTCATGTTATGAACATGTGCAATAGATCTTCAGTGATGTAGCTCAATTTGGTGAGATTTTTCCTACCTTGGGATTTCTCATCAGGTGCCAACATGTAAAACTTGATACAGAAAATCATCCATTCAGAAGAAATAAGGATGTTTTTTTATGAAAAACAAATTTGAAAAATCTCAGCCTCCACCGAAATTAAATAGTGATCATATATTGGAAAGAGTTTGTTAGGCCGGTTCAGGTGGAACCGGCCTGGGGGTCTACAGGAGCGCCGATTAATGCCGCCTCCTCTATTGTTGCCGCCCAAGCAATGGGGCCCACGCGGCCACGCCTCCTCTTTGGTTGCCGCCGAAAGCAAGTGGGCCCACTATTTAAATTGATCTATTTTTAGCCAGGGGAGGGGCGGCTAAGGCATGGGAGGGAATTTTCAATTAGAAAATTAACTTTTAAATAGGCATGAGATGTGAGGGTTAGGGCATGCATGATTACTGTTTTCTCTTGGAGTTCTCTTTGTGGCTTTGAGCTCTAGATTCGCCGTCTAGAGATTGAGAGAGAACAATGCTCCTCTCGAATTGAGGATCAATTGTATCTTTGCTTGTTCTTGCTTGTGATTTGATTCATATAATACAATTAACTATTTTTGGATAGTTTTCATTGGAGATCTTGAAGTTTTCTCGCTGTTTTCACTAATTATTGTTAGTGTTAATTGCGAACTCAAGTATTTCCTATCAAATTGGTATCAAAGCAAGTCTTGGGACCACTAGGAGCTGATTTTTTCTGAAATTGCAGCAACGAAATTTCATCCAAAGGTAGAAGCCCTTGCTGATTTTTAGAGCAAAAATCAGAATTTTTTATGGCGGCAAAGAAAGAAGATGCATTGGAAAAAAATTTTGAAGAAGAGATGAGCCAAATAAAAGCCACAGTGGAAGATTATCTCTTCCGTAGAAGATAAGGTTTCATCCATGGAAGACAAAATTTCGTCCGTGGAAGACAGTTTCCGATCTTCATTTGATGGTGAAGAAGTTATTGGAAAATCAAATCCAAACGGCGGCATCGGAAGCAAAGGGACCAACAGAAAAACTGCGAATTTTGATTTTCGTAGGAGGGAAAACAATGTATAAATCATTGAGGAGAAAGGGGGAAGGTACGTAGAGAGATGGGGAAATAGGGATCAAGGAGTAAAGGGGGCTGGTTGGGAGAGAAAGGAGAGAAATTATGGAATGAGGGGTGCTGATTTTGGAGAAAGGAGGGAAGAAAGTGAAGAGGGGCTTGAAGATGAACATGTAAGGGAAGATCGGGAGATGTGGCGAGAACAAAACACTTGGGAGAGGGGAAAATATGGAGGAATACGGGAAAACGGGAGATAGAAAAAGGTGAGGAAGTTGAATATGCCAATTTTTTAAGGGGATGACGGAGAGGAGAAACTGACAGCAGGAGGCCTATGATTGGAAGGGAAAGCGTTGTCATGGTTCCAGTGGAGGGACCAAATGAGACCTATATAGAGCTGGAAAGCATTCAAAGACTATTTATTAGAACATTTTCAAATCTATGGGGGAGGGGACTTCTATGAGCAGTTTTTTGCACTGGTGCAGGACGGATCAGTAGTGGACTATCGTGAGCAGTTCGATCACCTAGCCAGTCGGGTGAAGCGATTATCAAAGACCGCATTTGAGGAAAACTTCATGAAAGGGCTTAAGGCATAGATCAGGGTGGCGGTGAAAGTCATGATGCCTCGTGACTTAGAATAGGCCATGAAGTTAGTACAATTGGTGGAAAATCAGAAGAATGTAGAGAAGGGAGTCAAGAGTAACAACTCAAGAGACACTTACAAGATGGTGACCACCCACTTAGCACCCAAGGATCCTGCAATAGGAGTTCGTGAGACCACCAGGGAGAATACAGGAAGAGGTAGTGGGGGAAACTTCAATAGGTTGACGGAGAAGGAGATGCAAGAGAAGAGGGCTAAGGGGTTATATTTTAGGTACGATGAGAAGTATACTCTATGGCATATGTGTAATGACCAAACTCTTCAGGCTCTCACTATCTGTGATGATAAGGAAACTGAGGGAGGAGAAGGGGAGGTAGAGGCAGTGTTGGAAGAGAAGTTACATCTAGATCTGGCAGAGGTTTCCTTGAACTCTGTGATAGGATGCACTATGAATCATACCATGAAGGTGAAGGAGGAGATAGGGGACACAGAGGTGGTGGTACTGATTGATAGTGGAGTTACCCACAACTTTATTTCCACTCAGGTCGTCGACCAATTGGGAGTGAAATTGGTGGACACTGCTATTATGAGGTGATGATGGACATGAGAACGGTGGAGAAAGGCCAGGGGATTTGTAGAGGAGTAATGTTGACCATCCAGGGGATTCAAGTGATAGAGGATTTCTCCCACTAGAGTTAGGAAATACAGATGTTATCCTGTTGATGAAATGACTACAAACCTTGGGGGAAACCAAGGTCAATTGGGGAGCACTCACAATGGAGTTATTGATGGATGGAAGGAAGCGGGTGATCAGGAGAAACGCAGGGCTATCCAAAGCCATGGTATCTCTCAAAACCAAGGTGAGGAGTATCCAAGAAGTTGGAGAAAGTTTTCTGGTGGAATTGCACCGACTGGTCGTAGTCAGATTGGAAAAAGATGGAGAGATACCCCCTTAGTACAGTTGTTGATTCAGCAGTTTTATAAGGTTTTTCAACCACTTCAGGGATTGCCCCAACTCAGAGAGCAAGAGCATTCTATCACCTAAGGGAAGGTGTATCACCCATCAATGCCATGCCCTACCGCTACCCACAATTTTAGAAGGATGAGATTGAGAAGTTAATTTGAGAGATGTTAGAGGCCAGAATCATCATACCCAATATTAGTCCTTTTTCTAGTCCAGTATTACTAGTAAAAAAAAGATGACAGTTGGGGATTTTGTGTGGACTATAGGGCGAAAAATAAGGAAACTGTGCTAGACAAATTTTCTATACCAATGATTGATGAGATATTGGATGAGTTGAGTGGTGCAGTGATCTTCACCAAGATAGATCTGAAATCAGGATATCACTATATCCGAATGAAGAAGGAAGATGTACCCAAAACTGCATTCAGAACTCATGAGGGGCATTATGAGTTCCTGGTAACCTCACTAACGTCCCTGCTACGTTCCAATCTCTTATGAATAAGATCTTCAAACCTTACCTCAGGCGATTTGTCTAGATGTTCTTTGACGATATCCTTATTTACAGCATAATGAAGGAAGAGCATAGGGAGCACTTGAGGAGGGTGCTAGAGGTGTTGTAGGAGCATCAGCTAAGGGCCAACTTAAAGAAATGTTGTTTCGCTCAGGCAAGGGTGGAGTATTTGGGACATGTGTCCAAAGAGGGGGCGGAAACTGATCAATAAAAAATTGAGACTATATTAAGATGGCCATTACCTAAGAATCTGAAAGAGCTAAGGGGATTCTTAGATATGAA